GGGGGGGGGGGGAAGGTGCATTTTATTCTAGGTGCTTTTGAAAAGGAAATGTCTGGATAGTTTTAAGCATGGAAATAACATGATATGATTTATATATTTTTAAAATATATTTTTATTGATTTCAGAGAGAGGAAGAGAGGGAGAGAGAAACATCAGTGAGCGTCAATGATCGGCTGCCTCCTGCACGCCCCCGACTGGGGATGGAGCCCACAACCCGGGCATGTGCCCTGACCGGGAATCGAACCTCCATCTCCTGGATCCTAGGCCGATGCTCAACCCCTGAGCCACACTGGTGGGGCAGATATGATTTATATTTTTAAAATACCTCTCTGATTGCTGTGTGGGGATGGATTGTAGGGGAAGTGGAGGCAGGAAGCTGACCTAAGGCAATTGCAGTCATCCAAGTAAGTGATGGTGGCAGTTTAGGTTAGCATGGTAGCAGAAAGGATAGTGTGAGGTAGAGGGGTTTGAGGTATATTTTGATGATAGAGCCACCAGACTCACAGGTGGGTTAGAAAAGGGAAATTACTCCTTGAGCTCCTAGGTGGGTAGTGATACTATTATCTAAGATTAGGAGAACGGGGGGAGGAATGGGGTGGAGTGTAGAAGAAAACTAACTTTATACTTGAGATACCTATTGAGAGCCAAATGGAGACCATGAAAAAGTTGGCTTTCCAGATTTGGAGTTAGGAGAAAGGTCGGGAATGGACAAAGAATCCGGAGGCATGGCACATGAAGGACATCTCAAGCCTTAGGGTAAGATTATTAGCTTAGCGAGACAACACAGATAGAGAAGAGAGCCCAGAACTATGCTTTGGGGATCCTCCAACATATGAGAGGTCAAGGTGAAGAGGAGAATCCATCAGAGAAAACATCAAGAACTGCCAGAGAGGTATGAGGAAAGCCAGGTAAATAGAGACTAAGAGAAGTGGGAGGCTCCGATACAGGAAGTGGTCAGCTGTGTCAAAAGAAGCCGAGAGGCTGAATAAGAAGAGCACTTTGTGCCCTGGCTGGTGCGGCTCAGTGGCTGGAGTGTCGACCCTCATACCAAAGGGTTGCATGTTCGATCCCAGGCCCCAGTCTGGGAGCTTGCGGGAGGGCAATCAATCGATGTGTCTCTCTCATATCAATGTTTCTCTCTC